TACGCCGATCATTACTACTTCCTCTACTAATCGATAACATCCACGGATACGAATATTGATAATCTTTGTGTATTATCCCAAGTGGAAAAAATGTAGCTTCACTGTGCTCACCGTTATTCTGAGAGGGGCCAGCGCGAACTATAAAAGTGTACGATTTCACGTTATTCGATTGAATTTCCAGATTTTTCATCCAACACAAGAATTGGTGTTTTGAGGTTGACCTAATGAAACGAAAATAATTCTGTGTATTGAACCTGTACCCCTCTACGATTTCCATCAATCGATTTTCTTAGCCGGTCATTTCTTATGGTAGAAAAAAATTCAGGAATCAATATCGAATAGCTTCAGATCGAACAGTTCTACCCTTGGAGCTGGCCCTTTGAGGTTGACCATATGAAACGAAAAAAATCCTGTGTATTGAACATGTACCCCTTTACGATTTCCATCAATCGATTCTCTTGGCCGGTCATTTCTTATGGTAGAAAAAAATTCAGAATTCAATATCGAATAGCTCGACATCGAACAATTCTACCCTTGAAGCTGGCCCTTTGGGGTTGACCTAATAAAACGGAAAAAATCCTCTATATTGAACATGTACCCTCTACGATTTCCATCAATCGATTTCCTTGGCCGGTCCTTTTCATGGTGAAAAAAATCAGGAAATCATATCGAATAGCTCAACATCGAACAATTCTACCCTTGGAGCTGGCCCTTTAGGTTGACCTAATGAAACGAAAAAAATCCTTTATATTGAACATATATCCCTCTACAATTTCCTTCAATCAATTTTTTGGCCGGTCATTTCTTATGGTAGAAAAAAATTCAGGAATTTATATCGAATTACTTGACATCGAAAAATTCTACCATTGGGGCTGGCCTTTCGAGGTTGACATGATGAAACGAAAAAAATCCTTTGTATTGATCATGTACTCCTCTGATATTTCTATTGATTATTTTTCTCGACTGATAATTTCTTGTGGTGGATGAAAAATCTGGAAATTCAATCGGATAACGTGAAATCGTACACTTTTATCGTTCGCGCTGGCCCCTCAGAATAACGGTAAGCACAGTGTATCTACATCTTTTTTCACTTGGAATAATACACAGAGATTATCAATATTCATCGTATCCGTGGATGTTATCGATTAGTAGAGGAAGTAGTAATGATCGGCGTACGAAACGATCGAAGAGCAATGCGAAAACGAAAATTGACCGGTGATGGAAAAGTGCCGCTGGGAGCTGGCCGGCCGGGAGCTAACATGACCGAGGTCACCGTATCCGAGAAAGAACTGCAAGTCCTTTTATCTTCCATTCGACTTCGCGGTTACGTAAATTACTAAACAACCACTAAATTCGCAATTTTTCAAAATCAAACCACAGAATTAGACTGGAAGATATTTGATTACTTCAAAAGAATAATAAGGATGCCTGCAAAAAGATGCCTGCAATGCAGGTGTCATTCCTGTTGAAAGCTTTGAATTTCCGCTACGCGTCGAGAGCATTTTAATTATTTTACAAATATTACAAAGCATGTTCATGGTTTCGTCGATGCCTATGAATTTTTCACATTCAAAAATCACACTCAGTTTTCGTTGCGAATTATGAACTAATGCGCTGTTCATTCGAAATATTCCAAGTAGTAAGCAATAGTCACAGGGGCGGATTGGGCAGAAAAAACCTAGATGGCTCTTTGGAACAAAGGGCGCAAAATGAAATGATTGTCTCGGATACACTTTGGAAGCGGGACACCTCATTGAATTTCCTATTGACTCACCGATCTCAACGGATTATTTTTTGAATTGTGGGGCTTGAAAAACTTTACTCAAGGAATTTTTTGTTTTACATTAATAGAAGCATTCTGCTTATATTTTCAGATGTTAACATTAAAGAAATCATATTAGTGATTTTCTTACGAAACTATCGAAATCACCATTGCGTAGACTCGTAGAGCATTCCCTCAAATGGGCTGATGCGTAGTTAACCGAGTAGTTAACTGGCTGCAGTGTGGACTTACAATACCCCCAAAAAAATCCAGTGCTTTATCATCAGGTGCAGGATCTTGGTGGCCATTGAATGAGAGGACTATCACGACCAATCTACCGATTACTATAATTAGTATTTTGCCATTATCTTACCACAATGTGGATATTGATTTGACCCAGAAATCCTCAGGGTTCATTGGTATTTATAAAAAAAAATCTTGTGAGAAGCCATCATCATTATCTTCTACATGAATTTATTCGAAAGCCTTATTTTCACTATTGGTATATCGTGAAGGGGGCAGGAATAGTCAATACCTGTTGTAATATGTTTTTATTTATTCATTTCATTATGTGATGAATAACCCAATGGACCAATTTATTGGAACAGTTTCGGTCAGCTTTGAACATTTATTGTTTTCACGTTTCACCACTGATTGGACGCTTTGCAGAGTTTCCAAATAGTTCTCAAAAGGTTTTAGAGGATGAAGCTTCCTTCTCTATCAATTTCTGCTTCTTCGCATGATAATTTTATTGAAGACATCATACATTGTGGAAAACTGTGATGGAATAACATCCGTTTCGTTTTGAAAAATTCACGGACTGGTTGATTCTTATTTTCGGAAAACAATATTTTTACATGGAAATGTTCAATCAATGAACCCATCCAGAATTTTGCAAGGAAAAGGAAAGTTGAGTTGTACCTTATTGTTTGGAAGGATTCAAAATTCTTGATACATATATCTTTTTTTCCATTTCTCTGATGTGTAACTTGGCCACAATTCAGAAAATTTGACCTGTAGAGCAGGAGGTTGACAGGTAGTTGAAAAATTTCATATACAGAAACAGATTTTCATAAATATATTAATCGACCTATCCGATGATTTTTTAGAATATTTTTCTGTAATGGAGATACAGATTTCCTTCCATCGTAGGTATACTTATTTACTTATCATTATTGCTTTGGTATATTAGGTAAGAACGTTCATCAAAACGAAATATAACGTTTATTTTTTTCATAATTGAACGGACATAATTATGCAGATCATTCCAAGAACGATTTATTGGTGGGTACACAAAACAATGACAGAACACAATAACACAAAGCGACGGCAGCAAGGGGCGCCTTACGGCAAAGGTGAATTGATATATATGTGACAAAATATTTTTTGCCTATTCGTAACAGAAATACAGGGCATTATTTGTATTCGGTGCGAAACTTCGATGAACGTTATTTCATCCATGTTATCGGCTGAAATTCATCAGCAACTTACCTTTACAGACACTCCATAAGATGGCCTACTATGAAAAAAAAATCCAGTGCCGGATTCATTTTCTTTATAAATGTCATAATTTCGACTTTCTGGATCGTATTTTTGAAAAACTCATCAGAATCAGAAAGATCAGGAAAACACTACAAGTAGAGCTTTTCATTTTGTACGGCACACTTCGACCAAATCGTTGAATAAATATCGAACAAAATACAGATGATTTCGCATGGGCATATTGTAGTCAAATCGTTCAACAAATTCATTTGAATCATTTTCTTGCATATCGGTGTATCATAAGAGTTGGGAAGACGCTCTATTTGATGAAAAAGTCCAGGACCAGACTTGATTTTCTGGAAGAGACTTTTAAAATATGAACATAAATATTGAAATCTGCTTCTACATGTGGAAATGTGGAAACATTGTACTCAGTATGAGGAATTATCTCTTAGGTGAAAGATTTCTATCCGAATCAGATATACGTGCCTACTCATACTACATAGAGGAACTTTTGAAGAACTATTGAATATGATATGATCGCATGTGAACTCTCTCAACCAGAGAATTAAATTGTGAGTTTGGTGTTTTCACGATTCAGAAAGCACTAATAAAGAAGGCTGTGATGGAGGTGAGCAAATGGATTGAAAGAGGCATTTCATTTCAACAGAATGGGGCACCTCCACATTACTCAATACAAGTTAGAGAATACCTAGACACCCAATTCTCTAATCGCTGGATAGGTCGTGGCGGCCCTCATTCTTGGCCTTCTAGGTCTCCTTACAATATTAGACTATTATCTATGGAGACATATGAAACGATTGGTATATCAGACTGAAGTCAACACCAAAGAGGAACTGAGGGAGAGGATAGTTACAGATTCAGATATGATCAGAAATAATAGGCAAATAATTCTAAAACCCATGAGAGATCTCCTGAAGAGAAGCAGAAAATGTGAAGGAATTGGAGAATAACATTACGAGAATCTTCGTTGAAGATTGTTAAGGTATAGACAAAGCTTTTTTGAAAACTATAATTGTTTTGTAGTTTTTTCCGAAAATCAAGTCCGGTCCTGAATTTCTTTATTAAAAAAAACTATTCTCAACTTTGCTGGTATATCAATATGCAAAAAAATGATTTCAATACCTTAAGTCGAATGTAGAGAGTAATGTGCCCTGATGAAATGGAAGAAATATTCATCAGTATTATGTTTGATTTTTTTTACCCAATCGGTCTAAGTGTGACGTTCAAATTGAAAAGCTGTACTTGCCACTGCCATTTGGCTATGGCTTGTTAGCATGACTCACCCTGTATATGTTTCACTTACTGAGTTGTGACTTCGGTAGCTATGAGTAGCAAATTTCGATCAATTGAATGAAATTGTGAATGTGAATTCATTTGTGATTTTCAGACCTTGAAACCATTCAGACAATTTTTGAAAAATGAAGGAATTTTCATTGCACTATTAAATAGTCAAAGGCATATTAGTTATATTGATTATTGATACTGAGAATTTCGAAAGGAACTTTTATCTTTCAATTCCTATGATATCATATTTGAGAAAGAGAATAAAAAACTGCTTTGCAAATTGTTTTGTTCAATATAGAAGCACACCAACAAGATTTTGCTTCAATTCAAACTACCTTCACTTTTTTAAAAGATTTGATAGCAGATTTGATTTGTCAGCCTTAAATTTACTTCAGACGAATGTGACCACTTTGTATGAATGGTGTCTAAATCAATTTAATATTTTCAGGTATGCCTTAATGTACCTCATAGTGATATCAACAATGTGGTTGGCCTATTTTTTGATCGTCGGTCTCATGGGCGACAAACGTCACTGGCCTCTGTTATGCGGCCTCCTGCTAACACTGATAATCTGCCTCATAATATCTCTGTCGTTCACACGCACCGAAATCTACGACCAAAATATGACTACATCGACTACAGCCTTATCTTTACTCATCACCATACTGAGCCTGGTGTTTTTAACAATTTGTCAGCCGCCGCCTGTTGGGAATTTCTCACTCTGTATACAGATACTGTTTTTGATATACACTCTTGTTCCGTTGAAGTTGTATGTCAGTCTCACGCTGGGCATAATTTATTCAGTCTCCTTCGAGTTTGTGGTGTCCTTTTTACAACCACCTGATAACCACCCGGTGTCATTATACTTTACGAGACTCCTTTGCCATTTTGGCATACACCTCATCGGATTCCACATAGGCCTGATGAATAACATCAGGACCAGGAACACCTTCATGAAAGTCGGACAGAGTTTATTGGTACGCAGACAGCTGGAGTTAGAGAAGAGGTTGAAGGAGAACATGATACACTCGCTCATGCCGAAAAGCGTGGCTGATTGGTTGAAGAAAGAAGACGAGAATTTCACCAGGAGGCAGTCGTCTGACTCCACGAACGATATAAGATCCTTGTTCAGGTAAATCCACTAACATAACTATTATCTAGATCGTTATATCTCACAAACCGAAAAGCTTGGGTAAATTGCTCATCTGAAAACGCTTCTACTCAATGTGCAGGAACCACCAAACTGTCGTTCATGACAGCGAGTCATATTTCTATTACCTATATATAATAAGTGTCACCCCCCCTATCTAACTCGACACGGGACTCTTGTTAAGAAAATCGCCGATCGATTTTTGATTCCTACAGTGTACATTTTCATAGGAATAGTTCACTCCTAATTTCATTCCTTACTGGAGGGGAGCAACCCTGTCAAAAAATTCGAATAGCACGGGGTGGTAAGTGATAACTCATTTGAAAGGGGGTTTCAATCTCTATTCAACCGTGCAAAGAAATTTAAATTTCAAATGAGATTTTACTAACAAGGGTCCCGTAACTAGTTAGATAGGGGGGTAAGACTTATGATATGATGCGCACTGTATAAGTATATAATATCCATTCTATTCTAAGTTTCTCTGAAATCTCTGCTATCACCCTTTACTAAAACTCGTTTATATATAGTTCGGAGAAGCTTTGGAATCCTTTATTGCCAATGGAAGTATTCACAAGATCTTAAAACCTCCAAAAGTTTGAAAAAATCCCAACACCTACCTCCTCTCCGTATCCTCCCTAGGTACGTACGATGTTCCACGAACGTCATAGGAATTTCCTTTCGTGCGCTCCTAGAGATTTATAAAAATCAGCTTCCGATTGGATGGAATTGGATTTGGTTGAATGTATGTCTGTGTTTCTATTCACTGCAAACTGAAACCTCAATATTTACTAAGTACTTACTAGTAATTCTTAACCTCTGAGATTTTCAACAAATTCTGTATGATCGCTGAATAAACTTGCCAATAGACCTTTTCATTTAGATGATTTATCTGAATGAAATTCTGATTAGATATTGCTAAAGGGGGATGTCATTTGCTGTTCTCGATGCTGTGTATATAGCCTTTCTCTTGTAATTTCTAGCGTGAAGTGAGATGGAGTAGATGGACTCTTTAAGTGATGTTAAAAATATTAGTCCAATTTTATAAGATAAAAAAATACTTGAGCCACTGTAGATGGCTCCTAGATGTAAACAATGACAGTCACTTATTGCCATCTAGATGAAGAGGTCTTTGAAATACAATTTAAAAAAAAATTATATTGACAATAATCATCCAAAACTGCCAGTGATTGAGTAAAACGTCACAATTTCACAGTTAAGCAAATACCAAATGTCAGCCGCATGGTGAATTCAATATAAAAAACAATGAGAGATGAAGTAGAGAGTACTTGAAGGGGGATGAAGGTATAAATTTCAGAATGATGAATAAGGGTATTCAAGATCCCTCGTTTACCCTTCGTATACTTGTGAAATTGACACATGGCGCCTTTAATGAGGGCTAACATTATTTATTGTTCAGCACATCGCGCCACTGAAACATGAGGTCAGAGTTGGTAGAACTGATAAATATACTTTTCATTGGTGATTTGGTCTCTACCTACGATATCATCTTCTCCGTCAATGTAAGAATTGGTCGTAAAGTTCCACATAGTGTGAGTGAGTGTGAAAAAAACGCAAGTCTGCTCAAGTCTTTCCATAACTTGAGTTTTATGTTTGTTCATTTGTTCATTGATCTCACGTTTCAGTAGCGCCAACTGGTGAGACTGAAAATGTTACCCTCGTTACAACACATTCTCTCCCCTTTCAGAATTGATTTTTTCTTCATTCTTCAGTACTCGAGTTAGTTTCCCAGTCAAGTGAATATATCTCATATACATGAGTTTATTTTCAGAATAGGATTATTAATTGATTAAAGATTTTAACATACATGCCTTCATTTCAAAACTTCCCACCCCTATTACTTCTTTTAGCATGGAGAATTTGCCGTAGGCAAAAAACACGTCAATTTAGATATCGAGGGGGAAATTTAAAACCAGTGCCAGTGGTATTTTAGGTTTCACCCACTGACCCCTAGCTACCCCCACTTAATAATTTCAAATGGCACCCCCTATCTTGTAACAAAATGGAGATCTTAAAAATCCTCACTCAGCCCTGTTTAGAAAACTGAAATTGGTTGATCCGTTCTCGTAAAATAGGGCAAAAAGAAAATTAATCATAATACAAAATAAAATAATAGCTATTGTAATTAAATAAATGTACCTTACTTAATTAGGTGTTCAAAATGTTCACCATTGGTAGCTAAGCAAAAGTACAGTCTATTCTCGAATTCCTGTCGGACTTTAGTAAATGTTTCGTTATCAATTTGTCTGCATGTGTCAGTAATCCTGTGTCTTAGATCCTGAATGTCCTGCGGGGGAGTTTTGTATACAATTGTCTTCAAATAATCCCAGAGAAAGAAATCCAATGGCGTTAAATCCGGAGATCTCGCCGGCCATTCCAGAGTGTCTCTTCTGCCAATCCATTTGTCAGGATACCGTTGATCGAGCCACTGTCGGATATGCAATGCGTAGTGTGGCGGTGCGCCGTCCTGTTGAAAATGTAAATTTTGATCATCCAAGAGCGGGTTGTCTTCTTTATCAACTTGGCTTTCTAAAGAGTGTGTTATGAGTGGATCGATTACATTTTCCAATAAGTTTAAATACAATTGACCAGTTAAATTTTCTTCAATTAAAATAGTGTCAATTATTTCGTTTCCCAAAACTCCAGCCCATACGTTTATTTTTTGTGGATATTGCCTATGATCCTCTCGAAACAAGTGTGGATTTTCATTATCCCAGTATCTACAGTTATGCTTATTTACAAAGCCATTAAGAAAAAAAGTTGATTCATCACTGAAGCAAATATATTTTATTGAATTCGGGTCATTTTGAATTCTCGCAGTCATTATTTCACAAAATTCAATTCTCCTATCATAATCATCCTCACTGAGTTGCTGAAGAATACTCATTTTGTAAGGAAAGAACTTGTCTAGTTTTAAAACTTCGTGTATAGAACCAACTGAAATATTTACTAACATAGCAACTTTCGAAATTGAAGTAGTAGGCTCAACGGCGAATTGGCCTAAAATCTCAATCTGTGCGGCACACACAGAACCGGTCTCTTCAAATTTTTGAACAAGGTCTAGAATATATCGGTGACTCACATTTTGGCCTGCATGCCTTTCATTAAAAACCCGGGCTGTCCTACGAGCACACCTATTTTCAGCACCATAAATAAAAATAATTTCAGTTCTTTCTTGTAAAGTGTACACCATTACGATTTGTATTACTGTCAGTGCAACTGACACCACTTAACAAACAGTTTACCATCAGGAATAACTAATTCCGATAAATGTTTTCACCATTTAATTTTTACTGATGCCAAGAAGCAACTGTGTGCCCTTATCTCACTTTCAGCTAAAGCGAAAAACTCTGTGTAAAAAAGAAACATAAACATACCGTTATTGAGTCAGTGAGAGCGGTTCCATAAATTTTTGCATTTTGTTAAATAATTTATTTTCTTTTTGCCCTATTTTAGGAGAACGGATCACGCAATTTCAGTTTTCTAAACGAGGTTGAGTGAGGATTTTTAAGATCTTTAAAATGATGTGTTACAAGATAGGGGGTGCCATTTAAAATTATTATGTGGGGGTAGCTAGGGGTAAGGGGGTTAAACCTAAAATACCACTGGCACTGGTTTTAAACTTCCCCCTCAATATCAAATTCTCCCTGCTAAAAAAAGTAATAGGGGTGGGAAGTTTTGAAATGAAGGCACTGTATAGGTATTACTGCATTGGTAATGTGTAATGTGATCATTATTCAAAAAGTTTCATACTTGATATTAAATTAATGTTACATAGTACTCAAAATGTCACCTTTGCCATGCCCTATTAGCTGAGGTACTCAAGTAACTGTAGTATTCATGTTAGGAATATATATTGTAACATGTAGCATGTCTAAGTTCTGATTATTTCTTTCATTATTGCATATTTTCACTCATAATGTGTCTCCTACTCGGATTTGTAAAGAATTCATGCCATTTCAGGCCCTTCAACATGGACCACATGGAGAACGTCAGCATACTGTTTGCCGATATTGTCGGCTTCACGAAAATGTCCAGCAAGAAAAGTGCAGAGGAACTAGTAGACATCCTGAACAGCTTGTTCCAAAGGTTCGACTTATTGTGCAAAGACCACAACTGCGAAAAGATATCCACTCTGGGTGACTGCTATTACTGCGTGAGCGGATGTCCCGAAGCTAGGGCGGACCATGCGCAGTGCACCGTTGAAATGGGCCTGAGCATGATTCAGGCCATCAAAAAGTTCGAGGAAGAACGCAGAGAGGGCGTCAATATGAGAGTGGGGATACACACTGGGACGGTGCTGTGCGGTATCGTCGGGACGAGGAGATTCAAGTTTGACGTATGGAGTAATGACGTCACGTTGGCCAATAAGATGGAGTCGACTGGGAGGCCCGGTATGGTGCACGTGTCGGAAAAAACGGTGAATTTCCTGCAGGACACTTATTTATTGGAGGATGGGGAAGATGTAATGGGTGAGTAACAACAAACATTGCAACTAAACATATGTATGTACAAGGTGTCCCAGAATAACGTACCATTAATTCTACAGGGTGAACTAGAGGATAAAATAGGCCGATTGAAATCAACTTACCTCCATACGAAAATGCACCGTTGAGCCGTTAGAGTGCGATGAAAAACAAATTTATTTCCAGATTTGCCTCAATATATAGAAAATTCTTGAAAAATACTGCTCTGAAATTCGTAGGGCAATTTGCTATGCTATTCGCGATAGAAAATAACACGTCGCCCCACCTGACGGTAACAACTTGAACACTACTGAGTGGTTTGTTTTGATGATATGACCAATAAGCACAAACAAAAAACATATGTTTACCAATAAAAACATAGTACAGGCCGCTTTGACGGCTTTCAAGAAGTCTGATAGGTGGTGTACGCTTATTTTCTATCGCGAATAATGAATGTTCATGGAAAACATGTAACAAGTCAATCAATATACAGGGAGTTGGTCACTGACCACATTTTGATATTTCCATGAATGACACAAAATCAATTATCTCACTTTTTGTAACTGCAATGTTTTTATAAGTTTACTTGGTATATATTCCAAGATATCCAACAAAATTCATCTTGGTGCTCCTCCATACTTGTTTATGCCTATGACTATTATCATGTTTTCGAGTTTTTGCCCCATTTATTATTGCCCACAATTTTCATGTTTATGAACTACTTTAGCATATGATAATGTTGCTGGTCATCTTTAAATTTGTTTATTTTTTCTCAAATAAAGTTTTTTCTTCATCAGAAATTCTGAACTGAAATTTAAAAGTGACCAGCTCTCAAATCACATGATAAAGAGCTTGCAAAATGGTGAATATGTTTGTTGTGGTCAATAACTCACAAATGAGATAGAACTGAGCATAACATAATAATTCTATCTATCTATGAAGCACCAAAATGAATTTTGTTATTTATCTCGAAAACAAGGAAACCTATACAAAAACTGCAGTTAGAAAAAAGTGAGATAACTGATTTCCTCATTCTTTGAAACATCAAAATGTGGTCAGTGATGTACTCCAAAAAAGTTACATTAATTGTTATCAAAGGAAATGGGAAATACCTAACTCCCTGTATATTCATTGAATTGGTATGACATGTTTTCCATGCACATTCACTATAGTGAATTACTCTATGAATTCCAGAGCAATACCTTTCAAGGATTTCGAAATATTGAAGAAAATCTGGAAATATAATTGTTTTTCATCGCCCTCTCACGGCTGAACGGTGCAATTTCGTATAGAGTTAAGTTGGTTTCAATCGGCCAATTTTGGTCTCTACTCCACATTGTAGAATTTATGATACATTGTTCTGGGACACCTTGTATATATCGATAGGTTAATGTTTGCGAATAGCTCAAAGTTTGACGAAGAAGAAGATATAATAGGAAAAGGCCAAATGACACAACAAGAAGAAGTATATTTATCAGTTCTACCAACTCTGACCTCACGTTTTAGTGGGGCGATCAGGTGGATAATAAATAATGTCAGCCATCATTGTGAAAATATAGTTGTGAATGGAAGAAGTTACTGAAATCATGTTTGTTTTCTTATATTTCATATCATATTAGTTATCGAATCATAATAAGCTCATTTCAGGAAGAATACAAGTCAAAATGTCGATGAAGTTCATTATTCACAGTCCTTTCCTTATTGTAATGCAGTAACATGAAAGAATGATTTTTGAACCATCAATTCTGTGCCATGTATTCCTCCAGAAATGATAAAAAATCAATAACCAATTACATTTTGAGATTGCCACCACGTCTGTCAATGCTCGAATTAGTTCGGCTTCCAAAACGCATGGTGTCGTTGTTCTGGACGTCACCATGGTGGAATTATAATATGGTGTGCTACGACGCTTCTTCGTATACGTCACTGCAAGTAAATCAATTGCTCACAGTCTGAGCTCGCAGTTATCAATTCGCCCAAGTCGCCGTGATCATTTTGGTGCGAGTATAGACTCGCAATGACTTTATGCGCAGAAAAGACGAATTCAAGATACGTGAGTAGCACACCATATTATATTTCCACTATGGACGTCACTATAGGGGATTTCATTGAATGCCAACAATCCTAAACGCCAAACAAGGATAAATGAATGAAATGGCAAATGGTGGAGATAACTCTGAAATAGCTAGATATTTTGTTCTATTCATTGGCAGCAGTTACTGTGAAACAGCTAGATATTTTGTTCTATTTATTGGCAGCAGTTACTGTCACTGTATAGACCCTTGCGGAAAACTTTAATTTCACTTACCGTCGGAACGTTTGATGTTGGTGTCCACAAGTTTTATTTTCTGTCAGACCTGTGTGCATACCACCACGCACAAACTTGCGCGTTACGGGCTTTTTGAGCCAAGGACAAGCCAATGACGACTCGCTCGTCATCACTGAGGAATGCTGTGAAGTCACTGAATTTTATGTGAATAGGTCCGGCTCCAATAAATAATGTGACTGTCGTTATCTCAAGAATACAGGAATGTGACTAGGACAGTGATATCACGGGTGTGATTAAGCGATGAGGTGTCAGATACGTAACGCATAGAGAGACCGGTGGCATTATTGATGCGCTCTCGGCCGGGATCACTTTTTTGTTGATATAAGTAATATTCTTTTAATATGAACTAACTGAAATATTTCACTAGAACTGAACTGAATCGTTCTTTCGAATGACGTTCATTATGTAAAATGCATGTCAACTGATTCAGTTCAGTTCATGTGAAATGTGTCAGTTAGTTCAGAATGAAAGAATACCACTATAATTATTATTTTGTTGAATATAATTTCGGGGTTAATAAATTTACTTTATTTTGGTTCTGTGGTGGCCGTGTAGTTTACAATAAACAGCCGATCTACCACTCTCAAAAACATTGAAATTCAGATTATAAAAAAAACTATTTCAGTACATTTTTATTTCAATGAACATACTGCGTGTAGTATCCAGTACTTATGAATAAACGGATTAGAAAGACATGAGTGAATCATCATCATCGCAATGCAGATAGGTTGAAATAATGATAAGGAGATTCATTAGTGTCTGGACGATCGGACAGTTTACATCGGTGTTTAATTGTGTTACGCAATCCCAGTATATTACACTGGGAATCGAGACGGGCGTTAAAATATAATCATATAATCTGGTTAAAAATATTTTTGATGTTATTTTCGGAAATAAGTATTATATTATGTCTGTTAGTGAAGATTAAAGAATTGTAGTTGAAAAATATTCAATGTTTTTTATTCTTCATTTGGAAGAAGAAGTGGAAATATAATCAAACTTCAATATTTCTGACATTTTTATTGTGAGTTAAACTGACGATAAGTAGTGTTTACGAACAAAAAAATTACGAGTTGTAGGCATAATAAAACATATTGTAGGTACGAAACGCAAACCATGAATAGGTATGTTTTTTTATACCTCAAAGACATATTGTCGAAGCGAGGAGTGCTCCAAAAAAACTAGGCGTATAATTGTCCTATAAAACTTATAATATTACAAGGTGTTTCATAATTGGATGTCAGTTTTTTTGGAGGCGATTGTTGCGCTTATTCAAAGAAGAAAGTTGCATATGAACGTATGACCTAAACATCCTAACTTTTGAGATACAGGGTGGTAAAGTTTTCAAAAATTAATAGTTTTTTATTAATATCTGTAATACCACTTCAGATATTCTAATGAAATTTGGCATACTTCTAAAATGTATCAAGAGGCATCAGTTAGTGTACCACACTTCTTTTGGTTGCCACCAGTGGCGTTCGTATGGAATTTCACATACCTATTTTGACGGACATTGATGGTACCCCACTCATTAATCTCGAAATTGAAATCATTCCTGAAATTCCCAATCATTTATTAGCAAATTTGATCACCTCAATTTTTTCAATCTGATGCACGGTTTTCGCTTGAAAAAATAAAAAGCTTTTCACTACATGATTATAGCAATATCGATGATATGACAATATCACAATGCAGAGAAATAGATTTTATTTTTTAGATCAAATTTCAGAATTAGAATTCATAGTTTACGAACTTTGTATTCGTATTTGGTATTTTGGAATTATAACTTTCCATTGTAGTAGGCTATATAAATTTTTGAGAACTTTATCACCCTGTATCTCAAAAGTTAGGACGTTTAGGTCATACGTTCATATGAAACTTTCTTCTCAGAATGGACCCAAGAATCGCCTCCTCGAATATTCATTCATTCTGGGTTACCCTGTATACAGGGTGTCCTAGAACAACGTACCATAAATTCTACAGGGTGAACTAGAAATCCTTGAGAGATACTGCTCTGAAAATTAGAGGGCAAGTTACTGGATATGAATCGAATACATGCTATACCAATTTGATCAATATACAGGGACCATTGACTTTGAAGAAAATCGATTAAAAAAAATCTGAGTACGCCACTGACCTTATTTTCATATTTCAATGAATGACGAAATCAATTACCTAACTTTCTTCAGACTGCAGTTTTTTTCGAATTCTTCTTGGTTTTCGAGATATCTAAAAAAGTTCATTTTGATGCTTCTCCATACTATTTATTTATGATGTCAGGATTCTCATGTATTTCATGTTTTTATCTCATTCATGTTGATTTATTGATCAAAATAATAATATCCATCAGTCAAATTTTATTTTTGTTCTCTCGTGAAAAAAATTTCTTCGAATGTAACGGCGATCACAATGATTCTAAAAAGACAGTAAATTTCGGGAACAGAGAATAGTTGAAAAATATCACTAATAAAAATGATATCAATCACGCAATTGCTCAAAATGTCTTCATCTCTCTCCAAGCATAATCAGCTCTTTTTCACGCAGTTAAATCCTATCCTCTGGATTATTCCTGGATTATTTCGCAGCTGCTGTGGAAATTCTTGCACGCTACTGTTCCACTCTGTCAATAGCAACTGAATATACTTCGTTTTTAATGAATCTCCAGAAACAAAAATCCAATGACGTCAGATCTGGAGAACGTGGGGGCCATTTCACTGGTGCATTCTGGCCTCTGCCAATCCATCGGTCATTAAATCTCTGGCATAACCACTTTCTCACCTCGCGACTATAATGCGGTGGTGCGCCACATCCTGTTGAAACCACATTTCATTTATTATTCCTGAACAAACGTCGTCCAAGATATCCGTCAAATCATGCTGCAAAAAATTCAAATACTCTGGTCCGGTCAAGCGGTTGGATAGAAAAATTGGTCCAATCAGATAATTATCTACAACTCCGGCCCAAACGTTTACTTTGAAACTCGATTGGTAGTGAAATTGCATAATACCTCTTGGGTTCTCATCTTTCTACTCATGAGCATTATGTAAATTAGTTATTCCATTTCTAGTGAACGTGGCCTCATCGGTGAACATGATTTTCTCTACGAACGAAGCGTCTTCATTCTGTTGTTCCAGAAACCAATGACAATAATTGATTCTCATTCGAAAATCACCTATGGATTCATGAAAAACGAAGTATAGTCAATAGCTATTGACACAGTGGAACAGTAGCGTGCAAGAAATTCCACAGCAGCTGCGAAGTTTCGAAATAATCCTGGAATATTCCAGAGGATACGATTTGACTGCGTGAAAATGTCCTGATTATGCTTGGAGAGAGATGAAGACATTTTGAGCATTTGCTTGATTGATATCGTTATGATTAGTGATATTTTCCAACTATTCTCTGTTTCCAAATTTACTGTCTTTTTAGAATCATTGTGATCGCCGTTACATTCGAAGACATTTTTTTCACGAGAATACAAAAATAAAACTTGAACTGATGGATATTATTATTTTGATCAATGAATCAACATTAATAAGATAAAACATGAAATACATGAGAATCCTGACATCATAAATAAATAGTATGGAGAAGCACCAAAATGAACTTTTTTAGATATCTCGAAAATCAAGAAGAATTCGAAAAAACTGCGGTCTGAAGAAAATTAGGTAATTGATTCCGTCATTCATTGAAATATGAAAATAAGGTCAGTGGCGTACTCATATTTTTTTAAATCGATTTTCTTCGAAGTCAATGCGAAATATCTATCTCCCTGTATATTGGTATAACATGTATTCGATTCGTATCCACTATAGTAAATTGCCCTTCAATTTTCAAAGCTGTATCTCTCAAAGGATTCTGAGATATTCTAGAATATCTGAAAATTAAATGATTGTTCATCGCCCTCTCACGGCTGAACGGTGCGTTTCCGTATAGAGGTAAGTTGATCTCAATCGGCCTATTTTGATCTCTAGTTCACCCTGTAGAATTTATGGTACGCTGTTCTGAGACACCCTGTACTATTTTTTTTCATTTCAGGACTAAACACCTACTTCATCTTGGGTCGCAAAACCGACCGACCGCCCACGTACAGCGGCTCGTTCCGCGCCGAGGGTCGACAAAAGTACACCAACTCCCTCCAGCTCGTTGTCTCCCCGCCCGCAGCCGACCTGCCCACCTCCCCGCTCGCCCGCCCTCGCGTCCTCTCCTGCGACACGCCCCCCGCCCATCAGCAGCGGCAGTCGCGCAACTTCCTCTCGCCCGACGTGTGCAAGATCAAGGCCAGCAGCCTGCCCAGCATCCTTGACATGGAGGGGGAGGACGGAATGGGCGGGGCGGTCATCAAGCAGGACGCGTCGGGGCAGGTCGACGTCAAAACGCCCACCAGTACGGCCAGTGCGGGGAAGGGCACGAGCCGGCTGAAGAGCTGGAAGATTACGAATTTCGTGAGGAAGCTGGCCGACCAGCGGCAGGAGGGCGACCTGGACGTGTTCACCGTGTCTTCGTTGAATTCCACCGACGACGGATACCAACAAGTAATGCTGCTTTTGTCCAAGTTTGTTTTCTGTTTAGATCTTGGATACAGGCGGGTACAGTCTGAATAATATTTCTTTGCGCGTACGTCACAACTTCAAAAAACGAATCAAATCAAATCAAGATCATATGTTCCAGTAAAGCAGTGCCGTTCTGTTTCAGAAATTGGGTTAAAATAAATAATAATATACAGAAAATTTGTATTCACTACTCCAGGTAATTTTGACTAATAAGAAACATTCAATAAAACATGGGATTGGTTTATATTTCAAGTTTCAAAACTCTTCAATTCGTCAATTTATTGAAGGCAAAAAAATGTGTCAGAACTTTGGTATGTATATATATAAGTATGGATTGGTATATGACCCGATATACACACCTATTTAATGCTTTTGTGAGGTATTCTGTGGCCGTGGTAAAGCCGAACACTGTTGAGTCGTTTTAGGTATTTGGTATATTACTATGTACTGAAGTATACCCATATCATGTCTCTAGCGTATAGGGAATAGAAAAATTGACAGGAGATTGACTGATGTCAACTGTATGCTTCGCCGATGACTCGTAGATACTGATTATCACTGACCGACTAAGTGAAAAACTGTCTTTTCAAAAGAGGTATCTATTTACCGTGAGAAAGGTTCGTCAGACAGCCTATCAATTTTGTGTTTTTATTGAGAGAGAATTATACTTTATTGTTACACGAAATACATCATATTGGAAATTGCTGTTGAGCGATAAAAGTTTATGTTTACAGCTATACAGATTCAATATACATAGATGTCAAACGTGTGTATGAAATGAAATATCTTCACTTTATTATACTCAGTTGGTGAGATAACGGCTAGAGACATGTTGAAGGCGAAGTATTTACAGCTATACAGGGTGTTATTTAAGTATGTGACCAAACTTCATATCAAGGGACGATTATTCGGGTGATTCTAAGACAAAAACTTCTGGAACAGTTAACGGCCGCCGGCTGTTGAACAATCTTAACGGACGGAATCTGTTAACATTAACTTTTCAATTGTCATCTGAATACCGTTAAATCAAAATTACACTATTGGATTAGGAAAAATCTTAAATTCAATCCATCTATCTGGTATAATTGTATATGATGGAGGAATTTGCATACATTTTGATGGATTTAAGTATTAAGTTAGGTAGTGAACGACTTTCAGCAAATTAATAACGTACAATATTTAAACAATTTTAGGTTCCTATGATCATCGAAGCAAAAGCCAATGGCAGAAAAGAGTCATTCGCGAACCTGAAGAAACTCGACGGCGAAGACATATTCAAAGACAACATCGACATAAAATCGTACATAAGCCAATCTCGAAGTGATATAGGACAATTTGACTACGCATCGAACAGCGAATTTATGAGAAGCGGCAGCTACCGATCCCAATATAGCAGATCTCCTGCCGGAGATTTCTCTTTTTTAACTCGGACGGGGAGCAGTAGATCACGTAGAGGCAGATCTCCTATGCTGGAAGGTAATCGCATCTTTTATACAAATACACAAATCATTAGAAATTTTCGGGATCTTCGTTTTTTTCTTTCATGAAATATCGACCATCAAAATTATATGGCAATGGGCCTGTTCCGATGAAAAAATCATTTAATTATTTCGAAGTACTTACTCCTGGCTAGTTCACTGTCGCAAATCGTTTTTTCCTTAGAGCTCTATACAATTTTTGAAATCGCCCTGTATTTCATAAACATAAACAGTTATGCAAAATCTGATTAGGCCATCTTTAGTTTCACGAAAAAGTGACACAGGACCGCGAAAACCGCAAGGTTCTATCTCCATAAACTTGACACACCGTACAGCTGATGAAACGGCAGTTCTTGCATATTCGGCAAATTTCGAGCAAGCAGCTATGAATCTCCAAAGCGCGCTGAATTCTCTTCAGGAGTACTTCCTAAGATGGAAGATCAAATTGAATCCTACAAAAATACAATTGGTCGCACTCGGATGGGAGCGGAGGCCTCCCAGAACCAGAATAGTCCTGGATGGTCATGAGTTAGAGTGGTCTTCACAAGTTGAATACTTAGGTGTGTGCATTGACAAAAACTCATCTGGGCCCAGCACACTGAACAGCAAGTTTCAAAAGCTAAACGAGCCATTGGATCCCTGTATCCATTTCTAAACAGACGAAGTAAATTGGGTTTGAGACAAAAATTGAATATTTACATCATGGCTGTCAGTGTAATTTTATTGTTTGCCGCGGTAGTCTGGGGCCACGAAGCTAAATCTTATATCACTAGATTACAAACATTGCAAAACAAAATCGCGAGAATGGTGACAGGATCTCCTTGGTATGTTCGGAATAATCAGATCGCCAGGGATCTGAAACTCTCTTCAATCGTGTCCGTCATTAGAGAACGAAACATCAAGACCTTCGAAAAGCTGAGTTTCATGGGAATCAGCTTCTTCGAAATGCCGCTGATTATGACCCAGTTGATCAATCAAAGTTCAAAGGCCGAGATTGTCCATAAACTAGAGAAAATATCAACATTATGAACAAATTTACTCTTCTCAAGTTTCTGATATTTATTTGTTCCGTTCGATCTTTTTCAATTCTCAGAATGTATTTCTGAAACTTATTCGAGGCAGAAGGGCTGTTCGCATCAAACTTCAATACCGTTTTCATTTTTTTTTCAATAACTATTCATATCCTCAGTGAAATAAGTACCGTTGTGGCAACAGCGCATCGTTCGGCACTTTCGATGACTGTGAGCCCAACGAGATGTGGCTTGAACGGAATGTGGCTTGAATGAGATATGGCTGCAACGTGGCGCATCCTTTCAACAACATACTAATGTTCCTATTGTTTCCGCGGTTTTGAAGAGTGATGTGTCAATTCATTAGCCATATTCCCGTTAATTTTCACTTCTCTGCCAATGTCTGAGACAATTTGATTGATACTATCAGGTTTGGAGCCTAGGGAAAGGGCGAGAAGTGCCACAGTGTCTGCTGGTAATCTACAGAGGCCCAAGAGGTCTTTCGATCTGCCCAGCAGGTTATCCAGTATTGCTGGCTTGGAGGAGAATGCGAATCAAAGTAGGAAGGACTCAGGAATTAGAAGTAATAGCAGAAGAAGTAGTATACAGGTGAGTGTAACAGAGCAAAGATGTGCTTTTGTCATTGGGAGTTCCTAATAACCCAAATTGATTTTTAAACAATACAACATCGCATTGTTCAATGGGTGATATAAAATCCTAAATGTTTTGAAATGGCATAAAAGAACTGATGGTGCATTTTGATGGCAGATAGTTGAAAAACTCCCCCCATTTTATTATCGTTTTCATAAATGAGTATTTTATTGCAGATAAATTCGTTTCAAATGTTATTAAACCACATCCTGTGAATTAATTGCAGATATTAGAAAACAAAAATGATCTGCCTTTGTTCAATGTCCAATGAACAGCCTCACAACAAAGGTTGAAGACATATTGTAAAAATATTGGTTATTATAGTTATGAGTGATTAAAAATGAATATGATGAATAAATTCTTAGTAGGTCATAAGCACAGAATGAAGCATAACAAAATGTCTACTTGTAGTTGTATCACAGATGCTATGCATAATACTTTCATGGCTGCTTTTTAAATCATAGAAACCATTCTCGAAATCCCGCCTTTAGATATTTTTTACTGAAAAGCTGTTCACCCCAGGCAACTGCATGACTAGGAACACAATAATCTAAATGGCTTTACGCCTCATAATCTACAAGTGATAAGCCTAACTTGATGAAACTAATAAATTACCCACTATTATTTGGAAATTATCATGCGGTTACATATAACAAATTAATATAAAATATTCAGCATTGTGTACAGCATATTCAGGGTGACTGAAAAAGCCACCTCCGTTTTTTGATTTTGTTGAAGTAAAAAGTGAATCGGTTATATTTTTATTAATTAAAATTAAAATTTATTAAGTTGGCTTTCGTGCAAAACTACTTAGGAAAAATGGTTCGTAATAATGATTGGAATTTTTCAAGTCTGTCGTGGAAAACTATGAAGCAAATGTCATCAAAGAGTCAGTGTGTCATTTGATTCATAAGTTGACATAGTTCATGCTATTGATTTCCTCGTGAATAACATGAATTAATTATGACGAAACACGAAACATTTATTTTTTCCAAATTTTGCACAAACAAGGAAAACATGTTCTCTTTCAAATTCGGACAATAAAGAATGGCGCCGTAGCTTGCGAAAATCTTGTTAGTACACTGATCCTTATTTCCAGACTGACAATGCTCCCAACTCAGAAATACTTCACCGCGTTTCCGGATATTATACGTCAAGCCAATGCTCAATCAATGCCAGTCCCAAAGTGCCAAAGAACTATGGACCATTCTTCGATAAGTACGGAACGTGCATACAAAACCTGCGAAAACAATCAGACCGACAGCTGATCAAATGTGTTCAGGACAATTCTAAATCGAGATCATCGTATTTTATCAAACCGCCGCTGTCCAAGGTCACCCTGTTCTTCAAAGATGCCGACATGGAGCGGCAGTACAGAATGAACGTACACCACATCCCGAAAAGAGACAGTACCGGTGTCACGCTCGCCAACTCAAATTTCAATACTTATTTGGATGTGGTGGTGTCGATTATGACGTTCCTTGTTGTGTCCACTGGGGCAGCTTTGGTATACGGAGTCACTGACATTTGGTTGATAATTTTTTTTACCTTGCTCATTTGCCAGCTGCTGGGGTTGGGGTTGTGCCTGAAAACGGTGGTGAGATGGTTCGACAGAGTCGTCTGGTGTTGCATCAGGTTCTACAGGTGGAACATGTTCGGAGCGGTTCTTGTCGTCTTACCACTGATTTCCGCAATGGCTAATTTCGCTAACGAGGAAGATATATCACCGCACAACTTCAATACGTTCAGCTACTTGCTCTTTGTTGGCTTCGTTCATTTCTTCAACTTCACCCAGCTGAATTGCTGGATGAAAAGTATACTAGCTACCGTTGGTAGTTTAACTATTTTGTTTGTTTTAGTTAAGATTCCATGTACCTCTGAAGTGAACGTGGTTCGTAATGTTTCTGTGGTTTTTGATAACTTCAATACAACTGGAAAGGTAGAAGACAGCAATCATTGTTGCTTTTCTAAAGCAGAAGTCGTTTTGAATTTATTCCTTCTTGTTGTATTGATTTGGGTATTAACTAGAGGATTTGAAATCGGTTACAGAGTCAGCTTTCATGCGAACTTTGTGGCTAATCGCGATAAAAATAAAGTCCAAACTCTGAAGAACCAAGCTGATTACCTCATTTACAATATTGTACCGGAGCATGTTGCTGAACAACTGAAAAAAGACGCTAAATACTCAGAAAACTTCAAGGATGTTGCTATTATATTCGCGAGCATTGTAAATTTCAATGAGATGTACGACGAGAGTTATGAAGGAGGAAGGGAATACTTGAGAGTATTGAACGAACTAATCGGCGATTTCGATGAGCTCTTAGACCGTACCGAGTTTGACAGCGTCGAAAAAATAAAAACGATAGGCTCTACTTTCATGGCAGCCAGTGGGCTAGATTCTCGTAAACGGAAAAACCAAAAAGACCAAAACGAGCATCTATTTGTGTTGATGGATTTCGCATTGGAAATGCAAAATGTTGTCAACAAATTCAACAGGGACCTTCTGGGTTTCGACTTGGAACTGCGTGTGGGCTACAACTTTGGCGACGTAACGGCAGCTGTCATTGGCAACACGAAGCTTTTCTATGATATTTGGGGGGATGCGGTGAATATCGCCTCTCGAATGGATAGCACAGGTAAGAAAGGTCGGATACAGGTTGGCGAAGTTTGCTTGAGCGCACTACAGGAAAAGTATGAGTTTGAACCAAGAGGTTCGGTCTACGTGAAGGGTAAAGACCATATGAACGTCTATTTTGTCAAGAAAAAGAAAACTGCTCCTTTCTTGTCTGTGCCTGATGCATAAATGTGATGTGTAGAATATATTGACACAGCAATGTCTAGTTGTTTGGCCAGAGATAAAGGTGAATTGAAAAAGGCCTTATCAGTAACGAACTCATATGAAACAAGTAACACCAATAGCTGTAACACATATTTTGTGGATCTTGACACCCTTGGACTCCTTAGATCGAGATAAGAAAAACAGTTCCTATAATTGAGATAGAAGGTGATATACGGATTTTACCTCTGAGACCTTCAACAAGATAGCCGGATATTAGCTCTGAGACTTACAACAAAATAGCGGTTTTATAAAGAAAATATTGATGAACTCCAAGGAAAGTGTTTTCATAATTCCATACGAATTTTCGTTAAATTTGGAGCATTATAGTTTTTGTCAGTGATGTTTCAGAGATTTGCAAGTATAGAGGTACTGTAGGTACAGAAATTCGACTAAAATCGGTCGGGGAACAATTTCAACACCTCTTGGGCATTTTAGTTCACTTTAGAGATCGCTCAATTTGGTTCTTTCTCCAATGGCGAACTAGTTCGCTCTTCTAGTTCGTTAGTTCTCCGCAGCATAGAGAACGGGAATATCTCGCGTATTTGATATTACGGTGTTTGAAAATTAGGAATAGGGAAGATATGACCATAGAACATCAATTAGATATTGAATGATGGCTAACTTGTTGGCTGATGTAGGTACCTAACAGTTTGGTTCGTGACAACTAGGAAGTTGAATATGTTTGTAACTAAAATACGAATAGAGTAGAATAAAAACACAACATAGAAAATATTAGCACCTCGGTAATCAGTAATCACACCGTACAGCACTTTCAGCAGTCTACACTCTGCCTTGTTAGTTTCCTAATCGCGGAACAGGAACGACTACTCTACTACAAACGATAACGAACTTTGTGAAGTTCGAACGAGATTATATGAAGCGCCTCGTCTGAAAAGATCACTTGTGAAGTATAGCTATTCTGTACTAATTGACCATAACTTCGAAGATATAAAAAAAATTAGAAAAATTTGTCCTATTCCTGCCTTGCCGGCCGTGCCGAGCATCCGTCCATCTATCTATCTTTTTCTACTACTGCCCCATCTTCATATATTTGAAGATTACCGCCGAATGCAACTTCCAATAATTCTGGGCAATTCGGGCGGGAGGGAGTGATCTTTTTGGGCGAGGTGCGTCATATAATCTCGATCCAACTTCACAAAGTACGTTTGATCGAGCAATTATATTTCAGCGCCCCGTCCTCAACATCACCTGTGCAGATATTTAAAGGCTGAAGTTGCATTTGAATCATTGATACATATCTGCTGTGCAGAAATGATTCCAATAGCGATGAATGACTGTTTCGTCATTTTCAACACAATGTTTTCTCTTCTTTCTAATATACAGTTCTTTAGAACAAGATTATCTGTTAATGGACAATTATAGAAGTCTTCGTCTGCGAATACTCTGGACTCAGCAGTCCATCCAGCGGTTTTTCTTATAGTATCTAAAATCACCCCATTTCTGAATGCTGCAGACGTTGTTGAATGCCTTGTTGAGTATGCAGAAACTCAGGGTCCCCCGGATTCAACGGCTTACAGTCTGTGTTGTCGCTGTCTTATATTGTACGGTTCCCGAGTTGCCAAGAATAAGTAAATCTTTGCCTCATTTCTCAAAATGGAAGTCCTCTCAACGTAATGCAGCAAAACTGAGGCTACATGGAGTTGAGGTTCTGCTTTGAGGGGCCCGGCCTCGGCACTTTCTTCATAATTTATAACGAAACCCAGACCTCCTAATAATTGAATTACTATTTGCAGTTTTCTTCACATCTTGATTCATTTTCACCAATGATGAGCAAGTCATCAAGGTAGATCGCACAACAAATTTTACTTTCACGAATGAAAGCCAACAAGTCTCATCATCATCATAATCCAAAAGGCAAAGCATTGAATTCACAGAGAACTTCATTAAAGGTGTGCCAATAGCCAGTTGGTAGGTAATAATCATTCTTTAAATCAATTGTTACCATGGAAGATGATTTCATAATTAGCCTTTGAGCTGTCTGGAAATATTCCAACTTAAAATGGGGTGGCCTTATGAATTCATCTAATGCCTTCAGGTTGAGGATTAATCGTCCCTGGTCATTGGATTTCTCAACCAAAAAGAAGGGAAACATGAACTGACCTCCTTTATAATCACGCCTACTAATAGTGCCCTGTAATAAAGGGTCATTCATACAGTCCCTTGCCTGGTCCATTGCTCCTCAGTGCCAAGTCTATTATTTTGCAGTATTCTGGACAGGTCATTGGCAAATGGAATCTTAATTTCTGTGACCCACTGGATTCAAGTTGATTGTAGATGATCATTTTTCACTCCCCAGTGGGGTTGGCCCTTTGCGTTGCGGTTCCCCTATCCTCGATAGGCCTTTCCAGTTTGAAGGAGCCTTGGTTTTTGTACCCACTGCAGGTTTGTTTTTTGAATCTTCTCGTGTCAGCTGATGTAGAAGCTAAAGTCAAGTCTTTACTGGACCTCTTCAGAGTCCTAAAAGCTTTGCAATTCTCCCCAAAATTGTTGCCAAATAAATGACTCTCAACTGAATTGTACTCACCTACTTCCTTCGCAGCCTTGTTTTTAGGTTTGCATAAATTGCCATTCCTCTGACTGTTGACATATTGAAATGGAAGGTTAGTAAGCATCCTACCAGCATCACTTCAAAGATTTAATCATCAACTTATCATATCCGAATCATTCATTTTTAGACTGTCAGTTAGGGCTTTGTCTAGGGCACAAATGCCAGCCCCTAATTGGTCCTGGTTACTGGTCGGAGACCCATCTCTCTTCAAAGAAGGGCCCTTTCAAACCAGAGCAGTTTGAAGGAGGGCAATATTTTTGGATCAATACTAACGACCCTCTTTGTCAATACCGTTTTTGACAATATGAGTAAATTGAAACTTCATTTGGGTTTTTTGATGAAGGATCCTCACCCAAACATTCCATTATATCCTTCCTCAATGGCTCATCATTTGAATAATAGAAATTCCGATCATAGATCTTGCATCAGTCTCAGAACATCTCGTCCTCTGAGCTATGGAAACTGATGGTGACGAGTATCTCGTACGTGAGTCACCATCCGAGGATAAGAATAAAGATCTAGATCTATGTCGACAATACCGACGTCGGCGGCCACGTTTTTCTCCAGACCTTTGTCGTCTCTTGGAACAGGACCTAGAATCTTTTCTAGTCTTCATCGAGCCTCGATATCTTCTTTCGATCTACTCACTCTTTAGTTACAACCTAAAATTGAATATATCCCTTAACCAAAACGAAAAGGGAAAAAACGCGTGTGGTTCAATTGAGCACAAAAAGCAAAAAGCAGTATGAAGATAGGAGTAGTAGACAAAAATAGATAAAGCAAAAAGCAGTATGAAGATGGAAGTAGTAGACAAAGATAGATAGATGGATGGATGCTTGCCACGGCAGGCAAGGTAAGAATCAGATAAATTTTTCTTTGCTATATCTTTGAAGTGGTGGTCGATTAGTACCGAATAGCTATACTACACGAGTGATCTTGAGGACGAGGCGCTGAAATATAATCAAATCAATCGCATGATCATTTGATCAGAGCGGGTCGCGGGTCGGCAGTCTCTCGACCCTCTTGTTTGACACTCGGCAGTGGCAAACTGGGACAGAGAAAGTGGATTGGTCGGCCAACGTTCGCACTTTGCAGTGAACTAACGACCTGAAACCAAGATTGAAAGCGAACTAGTTCGCGTTGTTCATCTCGGGGTGCGCTCTTTCGAACTAGTTCGTTCGCTAACTATACAAGACTGTTTCCCAGAATGTTTTGATCTCAAAATTCTATTCCGACTATACTCCATGATCTCATCAATTCTCAATACATTTTCAAAAAGATGAATGTATAGAGTGTCCAGATTTAACGGGAAAATGAACTAAATGAAGAAACTGCAGATTCCTGGACTCAAAGGTTGAGTTCGACTAATGGCTCACAACAATGTTTTTGCATAAGATCTATTGTGCCCCTTCTTTCACAATTTCTCTAGTCCTATATACCTCAGAAATTTCAGGACATGAGGTGGGTAGCTCCTCTATTATGTGTGCTCCTTGATTACTTGCCCTTGGGTTCTGTAGGATGACACATTCCATGAGTATGTGGATAGATGAGGTATAGATGTACAAAAAAGTCAAATGTTGTTATCACTTAATATTGAAAGGAGTTTCGAAATCTCTTGATATCGTCTACTTTGTAAAAATAGCGAGGCGTGGGAGAATCTTGCTAAATTTCCGATGTTTCAAACAGAATTTACAAGCATCATGACACATTCATTTGAGTTCACATTTTTATTTTCACAATTTTTTGTGTAAATGGAAACGGTGCGTTATATTTTCGACTTTCAATGGTGAATTCATGAACGACACGAAGTCCTAACTCAAGAAAATCCTGTGATAATAGTTTATTTACTCACTTTTGGTACATACAAATAAAACGAATGTTGGAATTTCAAATAAACCTCACACATTGCAACAAAATCAGTCCATGATGAAAGCACAATACACTCACTCAACAAATATAATATCAATATACCTGCCTAATGTACTACTTATACTCTTATAAGTTATAATTCATAATTTATGATATTTCTATTTGAAATTTAAACAAATAAATCATGAATATTCCGAAAACTTGAAACGTGACACTAGTGACAGATATGTCGAGTCAAGATCAAGATGTTTCCGCACGGATTATTTGTTGCGCCTAGAGTCACTGGATGGTATTTGTTAGATAATCTACTAATATCATCCAGTGACTCTAGTTGCGCTCTTTCTGGTTGGTGTCCTGTCTTTAGATGCTTCTATTCAGCTGTTATTGAATACGTGCATCATCAACGGGACTCTTCGAATCCCGAAAGAAGGAAAATACATCCTTGAAAGTCTAGTTCAACTTCACAATAAGATTTGAAACGTATTTTGAAATTTTCCAAGAAATTCTCCATCGTTCACGCCATCTATCATCGAATATGAGAACCCAACGTTCCAAACTCTGATTCAATTGTTTATATCCCAAAGACTGAATCTAGGAATGTACAGTTTCTGCATTTCCCTGTTGAATTGGGTCAACCTTTATTAACAACTAATAAATGGAAAGTTCTAGGACAGTATAAATGAATAAACTAATCGGTACATGATACTCGGTTCGAATTATCTCGAAGGTGTCAAAAATTTTTAGATAAGGAGACAGGGTGTAAAATGAAATTGAGATTTTTCATACAATAGTCACCTTTTTCACTGATCAGCGAGTGAATCGCTTGAAGATTGTATCACGTTCTGTAACATTTTATTGCCTGATAACGCTGCTTTAATAATGTGTAATATTAGAAATATAATGAAAGTGATCGAGATTGAATGTCACTTAGAGGAGCAAAGGGCAGTATTCTTTTGAGTTTATAGCACGATATATGAAATAATCATGAACAAAGAAGTTTGAGCATCGGCGCCTGCAGAAATTTGTCAGGAAGAGCAGAATCAATTGTCTAGACCTGTTTACAATACTGGATTTTCATATTGTGGGAACAAAAAGCGACGTAGCCGAATTTTCTTTTCGTTTAGGGTTAAATGCTTATTTAAATGGAAGCACTATTTCTTCAGTGCAACAATATTGACAACGAAGAAAACTGTTTAGTTTGGAAAATATCT